CGAGGGGAACGGAATGGAAACATCTCGGGACTCGGGGAGGAATATTGATACGATTAAGATCAGAACGTGGTCGTTGCGCGTGAAACATCATCGCGATCGCAACGGTTTATTTGTTGCTAAACCTACCGCCGTGCGGGACAACGTCGCAACGTTCGTCGTAATTGAAATCGATCGAAGGAACATTGCCTCGTTAGCCGCACTCGCATTCGAGACCTTGCATTCTCTGCACTGGAACTGCCGAATGGGTTAAATCAACTTATTCCTGAATCCTTTGTTCCCAATTGTTAGCAACGATTAATACAGGAATTATCAGAAAGACAGATGCTTCTCTGAGAAATCGGTAAAGAAATTGATTCGACAATTGATTCAATGGTACGATGATTAAATCATAAGTCAATTGAAATATCAATAGCTCTACTCTCAGAGTTCCCATAGAATTTGGAAAAGTCGATACGTTTGTTCAGCGGTTCCAATGTCGAATGATTATTTTCGATCGTCTTCCTTCCGAGGACGCTCGAGTCTGTTCGAAAGAGCGACGTTTCTCGCGCGTCGACCTTACTAGAGAATAGGGTGAATGGAAAAAAGAAAAAGAAAACCAAAGAGAGAAGTCGAAATCGACACCGTTACGTAACCGCCTGGTCATGAACGATAGGTAACGAAGAAAGATTAATACAGGTACTTGTATGCACGTCCCTCCACAAACCAACGACATGCAAACCAGTCATTTCTATACCCGTGGACTCTGGACTCTCCGAGCCATTCTCTGAGACTCTCCGTTACGCGTCTCCGTGATCGCGCTCGCGATACTCTCGTTATTGCTGCGTGTGCACATACAAAAAGAAAAACAGAAGAACAGTCGAGGAGCAAGAGAGGAAACACACGTGGCAAGAAGAAATTTTCATCACCGATAGCACTACGCGCTACCTACGCTGGCGACACCGGCACGCCGGGCGTACGGGTTAAACCGCGCGTGAATGTACAGGGTGTCCGGGAAACGAACGTGGCCCCTTCGACCTTCCTTCTCGGAAAGAATTCATCCATTTTGAACGTTAAAACATGACATGCACGCGAGAACAGTCGGCATTGAAAGGTTCGCGTTAGAGCTGCCAGATGACCGAATGAATATTTATTGCGCCATTATGGTAAACATGACGGACGAGAAAATTCATGCGAATAAGTTGATTCTATTCATCCTGTCGAATCGGACGTTGAAAAACGTAACGTCGGGAACCCGGTGTTCACTCGGGAACTGTGAGAAGTGGTCGGCTCAGGGCTTCCAACACGGTCGCCATTTTCTCTTACGCAAAACTAGATTTACCGATTCATCGTACGTTGAAAAACGTGAAAAATATCGAAGGAACTTATATAACTCGCGCGTCATTTCGCGTCAACTGACAAAGCGTTTTTTTTTGTGCGATTTGCAATTAATTTTACACGCAATTAGCGTGTAAAGGGTTGACATTTTCAATGTCGATCTCGGGACCGTCCTTGTTTGCCTGTATAGATACGCGGGGAGTGGAGGATCTTCGCGAGTATGGCAGTACACGATCGTCGTCACCGTTGGACGAGCTTCCAGCGAGGTCACACCCGTACACTCGACATCCTCCCGGTTCGCCTCTTCTCCGAATTGCCCACCGACTACGTTATCACAAAAGTTATCGAATGGAAAACAACGAAATGGTTGAATGCATCCCTAACACCGAATTTGGTCTGCGGTTACGAAGGTTCGGCAACCGAACGACGAATAACAACGAAAAAAATAATATTCTACTCGATGCAACGCTTTCTCTTAATTACTTAAGTACTTCTCGCTAGTCTCATAGACCTTTGAACTGAGGCTAAACGCTTTTCTTCAATTAGACCGCGAGATACACGCTCGCGTGTTAAAACTCGGAACGGTTCGCGTATTGTCTGAACAGTTCGAGCTAAATTTATAAAATAAAAATATATATATATATATAATCGTTCGTCGATCCTTGGTTGCCGTAACTATCCAAACGGCGGACGAATTTGCACTGCGATTAAATGTTCGAAGATGATATTCGTTCCCTGGTTTCGAATTATACGATATCTGGAAACGTGGTGGGCGTTAGAAATGTTCCCTGATGAAAAGTTGGATCTGTTCTCGGCCTGAACGCGGTCAGGCACACTTTCTTTCGTTTTTCTATCTTTATTACTCTCAGACACGGGTGAAGTAGATGCCGCGTAGGGACGAAGAAAAGTGTCCTCCGTCGGGTCAGAGTTTAGAAACTCGTTTAACATTGGATGGAATGTCCATTTACTTAACCGCTAATAAAAATATTTCTAGCAAAATATATAAATCATTCTTATATATATATATAATATTTATACATATATATATATGTATATATATATATATGTATATGTTTTAGGTCTGTACTTAGATACTTTGTATAATTATATATAAATTTATATGTATATATTTACATATGCATATAAATCACGTTATCCTTCGAAATGAAAATATGAAACCCTAAACCGAGGGGAGAAGACCTTGCTCGATTTCGTTTTAAGGCACTTTGCCGCGCGTCATAACGACACGAGATCATCGAGCGTTTGATGACCCGATGGCTAGCGCGACGAATGGTACACAACAAATCACGATTTTCCTATAAAAGCGCGTTTACGATCGTCGGAAAATCTTGATTACGTGAAAGACAGAGAGAGAGGGAGAGGGAGTGAAAAAGAGTGAGAGAGATTGAGAGATAGAGACAGAGAGAGAGTGAGAGGAAAGAAGGAAAATAACACGTAACACACTCTAAGTACTGCTGCTCGTCA